AGAGAGAGAGAGAGAGAGATGGACACCCCCCCCTCACATACATTAATATTTTGATGCCTGTAATCACACACGCATGACATTAGTGTAAGGCAACTCCTAGAACCTAAATTTCTGACAAGGAAATCTCTATTCCCCTTAATCTCTCTATGTAAAGTGTTCTTTAATGATCTTTCCAATCAAATTTTTTGAGAGGAAGGGGTTTCCATCTAACTCTTTCATTTGAACTTCCATTTTGTAGAATCACTTTCTCCATGCTTCTTATGTACTACATCCCTTCATATGGCTGTATATGCAACAGAAAGCAAGGTGACAAGGTTGCAAACAGCCATTTACCTAAGTTAATCTTGTCACAATGAACTATTGATCTCTCTAGCTCCTGTTCCCCTCTCTTTCATCTAACTCTCTCCCTCTCTATGCCCAAAGATTTCCCGTCTAGGGAGTAAAGAGAGCCAGAGAGAGGAAAAAAAACACCAGGGTAGCACTATAGAGTGTGTGAAAGATTGATATTTGGAGGGACACACTCTCCAAATTGCTTACCAACATCCACGAGATCCTCTGTTTAACTTTGTTATCTGACTTAGCCAGCCAGCGCATGCAATGGTCTCGGAAGGAATTGGAGAGTAGAAGATGAGAGAAGGACGGGAGGAAGGTATTGCAAATAATGAAAGGGTGAAGAGAAGCCATTCTTTCTCAAAAATTGTGGTGGGAAAATTTTCCAGAATATTCCTCTTATACAACGCTCTTTATTAAGAGTCAATGAGTAATATTAATCCTCATTTAGATGTAGCCTAGAACTCTGCACTAGATTAAGAGAAAGTTCTCAATTACCTAATATTGTTCTTGGACAAGCATGCCTAACTTTGATTGCACATGTATGAACATCAAGTTTCAAAGTTCTTTTTTTTTTTCATTTTTGATGAGCATGCCTCAAAGTTCTATATGTTTGTACACAACACAATAACATTTCAGCACTATGAAACCAAAACTCCAATTCTAGACTCCTACAAGGTACAAAAAATTCAAATAGAATAATTCATCACCAATATAATTAGTTATTTAGAATTTGCAGCAAAGCAGTCCAATATCCTCAAATTCATTGCCCACTTAAGAATGTGCAATAAAACAAACTGTGCATGTCACAAATTTCTCCATGTGTTCAATACAACTGCAATTTTGGTTTTGGAGCTGAAAATAAAATTCCTTCAAGTAAAAGCATTACCATGTTACGTGTCAAAACACTTGATGCTGTTAGTGCCATGTTCAGGACCATCTACTAAGCCCATTACCTGGATACGGAAGGATTGCATGGACAGTAGGAATCGAACCTGTTAAGGCCAAGTACGTGATGATGTTAATTCAAAAGACCATGATACCAATATTGCTACTTAGGAAGAAGCATCAGCTTTCAACAACAATCAATCATAAGAATTTGAAATCCACATAGAGTAAGAATTCAAATAGTGTTGAAGATCCTGTGGCTTTTCAATAGGAAGGGAGAACTTATTGATTAAACTTTAAATGCTGCATCAACGAGCTATGCATCATAAATCCAATATTTATTACATCATTGAAGTTCATAACAACTCTTCCCTTATTTTTCCTATTGCTCGGCATTAATTTTGCAAGTATATAAATGCTTCTAAAAGTTAATGTTATGCAATAAGAAAAATGAGAGACGGAATATTATGAAATTGAGTTACGGAATATTATGAAATTGAGTTTTTTTTTTTTAGGGGTTTGTACGAAATTTTTCTTACTACAACTACTACGACTACAACAACCACTACTACTACTCCTATTATTATTATTATTAACTCCTTCGATCCGGTCCCAAGTCGGAGTACTATTACTATTATTAACTCCTCCATGGCATGCTAGTCCCATGCTCAAAAAAAGAAGGGAGGTAGCTGGCCAACATAAACTTGGCCACATGTTTCCATGAATCCTAAAAAATGTTATTGGCCCTTGATAGAGGATGGCGGAACAAGATTTGTGTAGCTGATTCCAAATAATTGAGATAAGGTTAGGATGATGATGATGATTATTATTATTATTATTATTATTGATGATGATTACTATTAACTATTATTATTATTATTAAGTGTTTGCTTTGGTTTTTCTCCATTTTATTTGCCTCTTCTTGCTTTCGTTTTTCTCCATTTTATTTGCCTCTTCTCACTTTCTAACGTGAGTAATGCTTTTGATTATTGTGGGTCTTCAAAAAGAATTTCCTTGCATTTTGAAGTATTTATCAAGAAATAGTACATATAATGATCACACTTTAGCGAAAACAAGCTGTTATTTATTTTATAATTTATGTAGAACGAGAAAAGATAAAAATCAGCTCATATTGTTTGTACAAACAAATGTCAAAAGGATACAAAAGCTTTTGACAGCCAAAGGCTCAAGTTGATCTGCTAAGATATCTCCTCTAAATCCCGCTTAATTCTCTCATTTTCCTTAATATCAAATGCAATCAATAACAGACAAAATTTCCATGGATTTCTCAGGTTACTATGTACAAAGTTTCTGAATCACAGAGAAAAAAAAATCGAATTACGCAGTTTTCATATAAAAATCTTCCAAACCAGAACACCAATAACAATGACATTTCCATCAACATAGATGAGGCATTCCTCATTATGGACGTACAATACAAATAATCAAACGATAATCCAGAAAAATCACAAAGCAACCACCAAAAAATATAATGTAAAAGCTTTAAGATTGCTAATGATGACAAATATAGAGAAATTATAGGCATGTTTTCCCATAATCAGCTAAACCAAGAGTAACCAGAGCATTGCTTTCCCATAATCAGCTAAACCAAGAGTAACAAGAGCATTCCAGAACATTAAACCATTGAAAGGAAAGGTGGATTCTCAGGTAAAGATGAGAATCAATTGAAAAGGAAGAGGACGAGATTGATTTCGTGCCTGAGTAGAATAACCGCCATTGCTGAAACAGGGGTCCAATTTATAGGCAAGATCACGCAAATAAGTTCGACTGATAAGAAATATCAAGCAGAAATGATGGGCTTGGAGGGTTTTTTTACTCGTGTGAGGCGGGAAAAAGTGGGTGAGCTTTCTAGAGAGATATTTGGCTCCTGAAAGAGTGTGCGTGCGTCTAAACGCCCATTCCAAGCCGTTCCCAATTTTGAAGGGAAATTTCTAAGGGCAAATTTTTTTAAAAACATATTTTAGAAATTTAAAACTAGCATAGTATAATTATATTTTGGAAAATATTATAAAAGAGACTATTTATTTTTTAAAATACTATGCAAAGTTATCGGTACGCATAAAGAGTGATTTTACCTATTTATATCACCGTCCAAAGTTCATTGTGCGGTCATAATTATCCAGTAATTTTTTATTTTTTATTTTTTTTCTACAAATCGGAATGATCTGAAATTTGAAGTATGTATTCATAAAAAATAGGGGAATATTCGAAAATTGTAAAAAAATATTTTATGTAAAAAATTGACCAAAATACCCCCCAAAATTTTTGGAGGTATTTTGGTCAATTTATTTTTCACGGATAATTTTTTTTATATTTTTATTATATGTGCCTCAGTAAGATGTACATACCCTCCAAATTTCAAATCATTCCGATAAGTAGAAAAAAAATTAAAAATAAAACACTACCGAACAACATGATTGTGTAATGAAATTTAAACGGTAATGAAAATAGGTAAAATCACTATTCATTTTCACCTATAAACTTCGAAAAGATTTTTCTTTTATTTTTTATACACAATCAGACGAGTCCATTAAATTTCTAATATGATGATTGTAGGAGTGGTATTTGGTATGTTCGTACTTATTGTCATAAACATATGTATGTATATATATAATAAATACAAATTACCAAATAGTTATGAATAATGTAAAGGTATTTTGGTTTTTAATTAATTTTTAATACCTTTATAGGCGCGTGACGATGAGAATTAAAAACATATCAAACCTGAGTTTAATTTGATATATAGAAAATTAGATAAAATCAATAAATTTTAAGTTCTCAAAAAGTGGGTAGATGACCATTTTGAATATCAAAAATAAAACAGGATTTATTTTTTTTTGGCAAGTCTCAAATTTCAATATGGTTCGACCAAGTTTCAACTTCGTCTCGAATGATTTGGATGACAATTTTTACGAATTTGGTATAATTTCAGCTGAAACGGCATGCTTCATGCGAGGCTGTGGTTGTAGTGAGTGGGATTAGTGCTTCGAATGCCATAGTGATAGGCACTTATCACATTACTCCGAGTAAATAAATAAATATTTTTTCAAAATAAATATACCTTCAACTATTTATCATTTTATATGTATATTTCGATTGAGTTTTTTAAAAAATATTAAGAAAAATTACATATATATCCATTATAGTTTGCGTACTTACGAAATTACCGAATAGTTTCCGTTATTACTTATGTGTCTATTTTTTTCATGTCAAAGCAAAAAAAAATTAAAATTACAACTTTACCTGTTTTTAGATGTTAAACATCTGACGGATACGAAAAGCGAAATAATAGAGAAGGTGAACAGATAAACATAGTAACCGAACTACTACCATCTCTTTTCATCTTTATCCTTGACCTAGAGAGAGAACCCCTTTTTTTTCTCCCTTTGTTATTGTGTGTTGAGGAGGATAGGGGCTGTGAAATCGTATCATGGCACGGATGAGAGCAATAAGATGGGGCTGTGAAACGGCATCATGGCAAGGATGAGAGATAAATATGAAAATAGATGGTAGTAGTCATTCGTATGTTATATTTATATGCTCACCCTTCTAATTATTTTGCTTTCTTGACTCAAACGTTCGGTCAATGTGAGCTTTATTTTTTTTATTTTTTGGAAAATATCTCTATAGACTTCAATTTCAACTTTTATTTCTTTTTAAACCAAAAATTTCTAAACCTATCTTTTAACCCCTTAAATAACTTTATTTATATTTATTCAAACTTTTAACCCAAATAAATTAAAAAATATATCTTTTTTCTAACTCTAAACAGATTGAAAGTTAACGTCGGTTTGAGAGTAATTCACATCCACAAAGGTTTTTAGAGAGAGAGAGAAAAAAAACATTTTTAGAGAGAGAAACACAAAAAACAGTCCCTTCCTCCCATCATTCCATACCCTCTTCTCCCTATCTCTCTCTCCACGTATTAAAACAAAACCCACTTTACCATTTCTTAATCCTCATCCCTGCCATAGAGGTTTTTAGAGAGAAAAAACATTTTGAGAGAAAAATACAAAAAACAATCACTTCTCCCATCATTCCGGGACATATTTTCTCTCTCTCTCTC